CATTGAAGATCAGAAGTTCAAAGATTTGAAAGCAAAGAACTATCTATTTCAAGCATTAGATCGTTCTATCCTGGAGACGATTCTTAACAAGAATACAGCGAAAAACATATGGGATTCTTTGAGGCAGAAGTATCAAGGTACAACATGAGTAAAACGTGCACACTTGCAAGCTATCCGGAGGGAGTTTGAAATTCTCCACATGAAGGCAGGAGAATTTGTGAATGAGTATTTTGCTTGGGCCCTTACCATAGCCAACAAGATGAAAGCAAATGGTGAGGACAAGGGAGATGTTGCTGTAGTTGAAAAAATTGAGATCCATGACTCCCAAGTTTGATTATGTTGTGTGCTCCATTGAGGAGTCTAAGGATACAGACACCTTAACCATTGATGAGTTACAAAGCAGCCTGCTTGTGCATGAACAGCATATGAGTTCTCATGTTGAAGAAGAACATGCTTTGAAGATTACTCCTGGAGATCAATCTGAAGGAAGGGGTCGAGGCCATGAAAGTTTTAGAGGAAGAGGAAGGGGACGAGGCAGACAAAACTTTGACAAGGCTACGGTGGAGTGCTATAATTGTCACAAGTTAGGGCATTTTCAATGGGAATGTCCAAGCAAGGAGAAGGAGGCTAATTATGCTGAGACTCAAGAAGAGATGTTGTTGATGGCTTATGTAGATATGAAGAAGGCCAATAGAGAAGATATGTGGTTCCTTGACTCAAGATGTAGCAATCATATGTGTGGGAAGAAGGAATACTTTTCAGATTTTAATGGAAGTTTCAGAGATTCTGTGAAGGTAGGAAACAACTCAAGCATGGTCGTAACAGGAAAGGGTAATGTACGACTGCAAGTGAATGGAATAATACAGATCTTCACAGGAGTATTTTATGTGCCGGAGCTGAAGAACAATTTACTGAGTATAGAGCAATTGCAAGAAAAGGGGCTTTCCATTCTGTTTCAAAGTGGAAAGTGTAAAGTGTTTCATCCTGAGAGAGGCTTAATCATGGAAATGAAGATGTTTTCGAATCGAATGTTCATGTTACATGCTTTATCTCAGCCTATAGCATCTACTTGTTTCAATAAAATTACAAAAAATTTGGTTTATCTTTGGCACTACAGATATGGACACTTGAGCTTTAAGGGCTTAAAAACTCTTCAACAGAAGAAGATGGTGAATGGTTTACCACAGCTTAATTCTCCCTTGAGGCTATGTAAAGATTGCTTGGTGGGAAAGTAACAAAGGTACTCATTTCCAAGGAAGAGCACCTGGAGAGCTTCACAGCTTCTTCAATTAGTGCATGCTAATATTTGTGGACCGATCAAGCCCATCTCTAACAGCAAGAAAAGGTACTTGATTACTTTCACGGATGACTTTAGTAGAAAAACTTGGGTTTATTTTTTGATAGAGAAATCAGAAGCCTTTACTGTTTTTAAAAGTTTTAAGATTCATGTTGAGAAGGAAACAAACTCGTTTATTAGAACCTTACGTACTGATCGAGGAGGAGAGTTTACATCACAAGAGTTCACCGATTTTTGTGATGTAAATGGTATATGAACACAATTGACAGCTGCATACACGCCACAACAGAACGGAGTTGCAGAACGAAAGAATATAACTATCATGAATATGGTTCGTAGTATGATTTCAAAAAGAAAATTCCAAAAACTTTTTGGCCTGAAACAGTCAACTGGATGGTGCATGTCTTGAATCGAAATCTAAGATTGGCAGTGAAAAACAAGACTCCAGAAGAAGCTTGGAGTGGAGTCAAGCCATCAGTTGAGCATTTTAGAGTTTTTGGATGTATCTCTCATGTTCATGTACCTGATAGTAAAGGAACTAAACTGGATGATAAGAGCTTGAGTTGTGTTTTGCTGGGAGTTAGTGAGGAGTCAAAGGCTTATAGACTCTATGATCCAACTTCACAAAGAATCATAATAAGTAGGGATGTTGTATTCGAAGAAGACAAGAATTGGGATTGGGATAAGAACTATGACGAATCCATTGTGTGCAATTTGGAATGGGGTGATTGTAAGGAGGAAGTAGTTATGGTTGATGACAATGAAGAGGGGAGCGAATCTGATCTTGAAGCTGATATTGAGGCAGAAGAGGAGAATTTTTTCTCTGATTCTTTGACCGAAGAAAGACCTCCTAGCTCACATGAAGGAAGGAATAGGAGACCACCAATCTGGATGAGAGACTATGAAACAGGAGAAGGCTTTTCTGAAGAAGATAATGAAGCTCATGTGGCCATGTTTGCAGTTACTGATCCTATTCACTTTGAAGATGCTGTGAAGAGTGAGAAATGGAGGAAAGCCATGGATCTGGAAATGGAAGCAATAAAAAAATGGCACATGGGAATTGACGGAGTTACCTGATGGGGGAAAAAGATTGAAGTGAAATGGATTTATAAGACTAAATTCAATGAACATGGAGAAGTGGATAAATACAAGGCTAGGCTTGTAACAAAGGGGTATACTCAGCAGCATGGGGTAGACTATATTGAAGTATTTGCACCTGTGGCACGCATGGAGACAATTCGCTTGGTGGTAGCACTTGCAGATCAAAGAAGATGGACTATCTACCAGCTAGATGTGAAGTCTGCGTTTTTACACGGTGAGTTGAATAAAGAGGTCTTTGTGGAGCAACCTTGTGGTTATGTGCAAAAGGGAAATGAACATAAGGTTTACAAGTTAAAAAAGGTACTCTATGGGCTTAAGCAAGCCCCACGTGTTTGGTACAGCCGTATAGAAGCCCATTTCCTGAAGGAAGGTTTTGAGAAGTGTGACTACGAGCATTCTTTGTTCATCAAGACAAGAAAAGAAGACAAAGTATTAATTGTAAGTCTATACGTTGATGATCTCATTTTTACTGGAAATGATGAAATGATGTTTACAGAATTTAAAAATTCCATGAAGCATGAGTTTGACATGATAGATCTTGGTAAGATGAGGTATTTCCTTGGTCTTGAAGTCTTGCAAAGATTTGATGGCATTTTTATCAGTCAAAAGAAGTATGCATTGGAGGTGCTGCAACGTTTTGGAATGGACAAAAGTAATTCTATTCATAATCCTATTGTCCCTGACTTTAAGCTCGTAAAAGATGAAGGTGGAGTTAAGGTCGACAAAACTTACTATAAACAAGTTGTGGGTAGCCTCATGTATCTCATAGCTACTCGACCAGGCATGATGTTTATGGTGAGTCTTATTAGTAGGTATATGGAGAATCCTACTAAGCTTCATTTACAGGCAGCAAAAAGGGTACTGAGATATTTGAAGGGAACAATCGAGTTTTGAATTTTCTATAGGAAGGGAGGAGAAGAGGAACTTGTTGCTTACACTGATAGTGATTATGCTGGAGATTTGGATGACAGAAAGAATACTTCAGGTTATGTGTTTTTATTGAGTTCAGGAGCAGTATCTTGGTCATCAAGAAAGCAACCAGTTGTAAGTCTATCTACCACAAAGGCAGAATTTATCGGTTGCAGCTTCATGTGTATGCCAGGCAATATGGTTGAAAAGGGTGTTGGGAAAGCTGGATCAGAACCGAGGCAAGTCAACTACTATTCACTGTGATAGTAGCTCTGCAATCAAACTTTCAAAGAACCCAGTAATGCATGGTCGTAGTAAGCACATCGATGTACATTTCCATTTCCTTAGAGAACTCACAAAGTCTGGTACTGTGGAGTTGGTGCATTGTGGCACACAGGAACAATTGGTTGATATGATGACTAAACCACTCAAACTGGATGTTTTCTTGAAGCTGCGAGGGCTATTGGGAATCTATTCTGAGATGGATATAAACTAAGTGCTTATAGCATTCAGTTTAAGGGAGGAATTGTTAGGTTTTGTTATTCTAGATGTTAGGTTGTTTTTAGTGGTTTGTTACCACTCAGTCAATAAGCCCCTATTATTAAGGGATGGTTGTTTGTTTGAATTAGTCATCCCATATTATCAGGATTTGTTAATCGTGGGTAGTTATTTTTTGTTTCAACTTGCTCTGTAAGGCTATCTAATAGTCAAGTTTGTTCTTCAATAAATGTAGAAATTTCTCCCAATTTCATTGTTTTTCTAGAAGTGTTTTTGGTTTTTAACACTATGGTCTTCCTATAGTTTTAAGGCTTGATGTCAAAAATTATAAGTTCAACCCCATACAACCCTACTCCACCCACCCCTCTCCTACAATACTTCTCCCAATTGTCACTTTTTTAATTGAGTAAAGTTATTAAAATTTAAAAAATTATATAATTTAATTTTTTAAACTAATAATATGACAATGACATTGCTCTTTTTTATTGATACTCGGTTATTTATCACATTATTAAATTATTAAGTAACATTAAATTTTTAGATCCTAAGAGTATTATTATCTCCCTTTCCCCTCACCCACCACCCAACACTAAGGTTGATAATTGAACCGAACTTTGTGAGTTCTAGTAGAGTCTGTCGAATTCATTTTTTTAAATATGCTTGAAAAATTATTTAAATCTGACTCGCTTAGAAAATAAACTGAACTCCAAGTCAAGTCAAACTCGAGTTGAGCCTAAAATAAATAAATTTAAAAATTATTCAAGTTCATTTAGTTTGGATCGAGTTTTATTCGAACCGAGTCCAAACAGAATTTTAATAATTTGGCTCAATTATCGGCCTGACCGGCACTCCACTCAGATATTAGAAAAGCTGAACCCTAGTCTCTCTCTCTCTCTCTCTCTCTCTCTCGTGTCTGCTCTTTCCCTCTCTGAAATTCTATTTGAATTACATGAGTCACCCAACAACCGTATCAAGCAGATTATCGGTGCGATCACCATTCCTTGCTGGAGCACCCATCCGCAGTCTCTCACGCCTCTCTTTCCAGTTTTCACACGCGACGTAGGATCTGCATCAGCTCATATTGAACCAATGCCACCATTCACGTTCCACTCCTATATATGTATATACATCTTCCCCTTCTCTCTATAACTCGCTAACTCTTCACCACACAGAGAGAGAGAGAGAGAGAGCAACAATGGAGTTTTGGGCCATTCTCTTACAATGCACCCCATACCTTATCTCTGTCCTAGCTTTCCTAATACTTCTGGAACAGGTTTCTTACTTGAAGAAAAAAAGGAACATGCCAGGCCCAACTCTAGTCCTCCCATTCATCGGCAATGCAATTTCCTTAGTCCGCAACCCCACAAAATTCTGGGAGATTCAATCCTTGAATGCCAAGTCCTCAGGCTTCTCCGTTGACTATGTAATAGGCCGCTTCATCATTTTCATTCGTTCCAGTGACCTCTCCCATAAGATCTTCGCCAACGTCCGCCCCGACGCCTTCCAACTCATCGGCCACCCTTTCGGGAAAAAACTCTTTGGTGAACACAACATCATCAACTTGTTCGGTCAAGAACATAAAGATCTCCGTCGTCGTATCGCCCCAAACTTCACCCCAAAAGCTCTATCCATTTACACCACCATCCAACAAAACATTATGGTCAAACACTTCAAAAACTGGATACATTTATCTTCTTCCTCCACGGAACGGCCTATCCCAATCCCTCTTAGAATCCTCTGTCGTGATTTGAATCTCGAAACCTCCCAGACAGTGATGGTTGGTCCTTATTTAAGACAAGATTCACGACAGAGGTTCAATGAGGATTACAATTTCTTTAACGTTGGCCTAATGAAACTGCCAATAGATCTTCCCGGATTCGCTTTTAGGAAAGCCAGGCTAGCGGCGCAAAGACTTGTTCAAACTCTAGCAACTTGTACAGAGGAGAGCAAAACGAGAATGAAGGCTGGTTTTGAACCAGAATGTCTAATAGATTTTTGGATGCAAGAGAACATTAAAGAAATCGAAGCTAATAATTTTCAAGACCTACCTCACTCTAGCAGTGAAGAAACGGGTGGCCATTTGTTTGACTTTCTGTTTGCTGCCCAGGACGCTTCCACTTCCTCACTGCTTTGGGCAGTGACCCTTTTGGATTCTCATCCTGAGGTCTTAGCCAGAGTACGTAAAGAAGTCGCCGGCGTCTGGTCGCCGGAATCTGACACACCCATAACCGCCGAAAAACTCAGAGAACTGCGGTTCACAGAAGCCGTGGCGAAGGAAATAGTGAGGTTCCGAACTCCGGCGACTTTAGTGCCACACATCGCCGGAGAGGACTTCCAGTTGACTGATAATTACACCATTCCAAAGGGGACTATTGTTTTCCCCTCGGTTTTTGAGAGTTCTTTTCAGGGGTTTGTTGAACCGTACCGGTTTGACCCGGACCGGTTCATGGATGAGAGGCAGGAGGACCGGGTTTACAAAAAGAACTTTTTAGCTTTCGGGGCTGGGTCCCACCAGTGTGTGGGACAGAGGTATGCGATCAATCACTTGGTGCTCTTTATCGCCATGTTTACGTCGTTGATTGATTTCACGCGGGCCCGATCAGATGGTTGTGATGATATTGTTTATGTCCCCACTATTTGTCCCAAAGACGATTGCAAAGCTTTTCTTTCCAACAGATGCAGGCGATTTCCATCTCTTTCATGATGAACTAATCCAATTTATGAGGGTAAATTATATTTTTTCCCTCTTAGATAATGACATTAATTTCTCTTTTGCTCTCAACTCTTATGTTTTTTGCACTTTGCATTCTGAAAGATTTTAAAATTTTTATTCTATATCCTTAAAGATTCATTTTTTTACATTGCATCCTTAATATATTAAAAGTGTCCCAATTTGACCTTTTTGCTAGCTTCCGTTAATTTTTTTTTGTCAAAAGTCAATAAATTGACACTGACAAAAAAATTAACGAAAAATTAACAATAGAGTCACATTGTAACACTTTTGATACATTAATGATACAATGTCAAAAATTTAATCTTTGAAAGTATAAAATGGAGAACTTAAAAATTTTTAGGGTGTAAAATGCAATTCGTCATATCTTATAATCCTAATTATTCAAATTCGTAAATTTTACTCAAATCGTGAATTCAATTAACGATTTGTGCAAAATTTCACAAATTTGAATAGTGAAATGGTACATATTTTTTAAAATTAATAGTTGGGGGACAAGGTGCAATTAATATCATAATTTAAGAGAGTAAAGTGTAATTAATCCTTTTAGGAAGTTTGGAGATGTTGTTGTCATTCATTACAATTATTGGGTGTGAATTAGTCAGACAGAAATGTCATCAATTAGCAGATCAATTAGCATTGTTTTATTTGAAATTGTTGTGTGCGAATAGATAGGATGGTCAAGAATGTTTAGAAAGCTTGTATATGATTTGACGTGGAGAAAGCATAAATAAACAAATTTATTGGAAAGCTATTTTTCTTTTTCCTTCCTCTATTTTTTTCATTTTGAATTATAAATACTGAGTTCGATAATATGATATTCTGTGTTTGAATTTCGTCGTCACTCTAATTATTAAAATATTTTTACATGTTATACCTAAAATCTAGCCTAAATGTGAGAGAACGTGTTGAAATATAAATATTTAAATTACACCCAAATATCCAAGAATTCATGTCATGAATCCAAATATTTATCAACAGCAGTGGTGGATTATTCAAGAAATTATTCGTAGACTTTTATGATTAGCAACACAATTCCTAGGTTTTTAGCATCCAAACCCCCCCCCCCTTCTCGATTTGTGTGTGTCCTCTTTGTCCAGTGATCGTTTCAATTTTATCGAATGTCTCCAAAGGGACTTTAACATCCAAACATATACAACTATACCTATTCATAATATTCACAAACAAAAGTATTAAGACAAAATTCAAACAAGATCACTGCTGAATAAGAACTACTTTCCTATAAAACTTCCATAACCTTGGACAACGAGACCAAACTCTTCCTGTAAATATAGACACTTGAATTAAGCTTGATACCCGATGTCTGAGTATACCTTAGGCCTTTTTCCTTACTGTAGAAAAAATATCCTTCAGAGGATCTCAACAATATCTCACCATGTTTCCAGAGACCTACAACTTCAATGTGTCCATTATCAGGTTTTCCATCCGGAGCACCGATGTATATTATATATTTTCGAACCCACTCTTTTTTTGCATAATCCTTCATAACCCATATCTCAATTTTTTCATTTGACGATAAATCGGTCATACCCAAATCACCATTCAAATCAACCAACCGAAATAAATTAGAGTCTTTTGAATCAAAATTGGCAAGAGAAATCGAGTTAAATTTCTCCTTCCCGACATCAAAAGAAACTATCAGATTGTGGGAAACAAAGAGAGGGTCAACAATCCAGTGCAAAGCTCCATATGCAAAAACAGGCTTACCCCTTATAGGATATGGTGGAACTTCAGATATCTCTTTCCATGAGCTTGTTTTCAATGTATGCACCAATGTGCCCAAGCTATAACCTGATGCTTCTGAATTCAATGTAACCAAGAAAACACAGATCATCTTGAAGGTATTAGTTGAAATATCAAAACCCAAACCATATGTCTTAAAGCGCCGCAGATTAGGAGACAGGATTTTTATCGGTGGAAGCCTTTGAAATTCTCTTCGAAGAGGATTTGACAGAGTGACAATCCCTTCACCGGCAAATTCTGCGAAATAAAGCAAACCATTGCAAGAACCCTCTGTATGAAAGCTATTTAAATCAAACTCTACAAGAGGATTCACACGTGTTTCTAAAGTCCTGCCTTTTTCTCTTGCTAAATATATACTCATGGTGGATTTTCCTGGCATCGGATCAGACAGAAGTAATGGTGTAGGTCCTTCTGTGGCTCGTGTTATGTGCATGATAGCAAGACTTGGATGATCAATCATGTTACACCATAGTTTAGATACACACCTGAATCGAAACAGCATCTCTATGGGTATTCTCGAGAAAAAGTCGAAGACAATATCAAGAGGGAGTTCATCCATGCTGCTTCTTAAAGGAGGTTGTTTGATCAAATCTGCAGTTCGTTGGTCTGGTAGAGAACAGGGCAGATTATGGGCAAGCTGTACTTGGTTATTTTCATGGTATTCCTCTTCCATTGTAACAAGAAAAAAAGAACGATGAAGTCAACTTTGTAATTGACAATCTCAATAACATTCCTCGGTTGTTTTCTTGTCTTTCCCACTAAAATATTTATCCAACAAAAACCTTAATTACAAAGGAAAGTATGATCATTATCACAAAAAAGAGAAAGAATGACCTTTGGTGATGATTTGGCGTATAAATAATATGGGCTTGTTCATCAAGAACATGCCCTAATCTAGCTCAATCGAGTCGGTGCCAAGCCTGAACACCCTTATAACAAAAAAAATAAAATAAATAAAAATATGGGTCTTGTTCCTGAAGAAACATATCAATTCTGGATTCTCACAGCTGGGAAGTTTCTGAAGTTTAATCAAGTTCAAACTCTTAAATTTAATAAGTCCTACTAATGGATGACTTTCCTAATCCAACCATATAACAAACACAATTAAAGAAAAATACTAAAAGGCCCCTCAAAAAAAGTAATCGATTCCAAAAGTCCATAATATTGGAGAAAAATACTAAAAGGCCCCTCAAAAAAGTGTTCTATTCCAAAAGTCCATAAAATTTTGAACTTGTTGGAATGTAAACTTACATATTTTTGAGGATTTTCAAAGTACTTTCACACGTTGGAAACTTGGCACACAAGAATGTTTTTTTTTTTTTTACTAGAAATTAGGAAACGTTATTTACAGAAGCCTCCCCACATTATGGTCAACCCTAAGCTAACCTTCTATACTTAGTTGACCTTGTACGAATCAAGTTTCAAGGAGCTTCAGAGGGAAAAAAAGTGGATAATTACAGAGAGTAATCTGCTTTCTGTAACCAGAAACCCTTCCCATCTCCAGTTTTGTTTTTTTTGTTTTTTGAACATATATATTAATCATTAGATTACTATTACAATGAATAAGCAACTATTACAACTCAAAGAGTAATGGAGTTATAGCTGAGGAGAAGCACCCATATGGGGGTGAAGAAAAATCCGATAGGACAGCATAACCCCCATCCTTTGACTAAGATTGACCCCTTGTCTCTTATATGAGACATAAGAGTCCTGAGAGAATCAAGGGTTTGCCAAGTAAACTAAACAGTTCTCACCATTTCTCGTTGTCTATAAATAGTTTTGTGGGAGAAAGATTCAGAGAGACAGATCTCTCCTCACTGGATTTCAAAGTGTTCAACTAGCAAAACACATTTAGTGGATGTTCCGACCAAGAAACATTTATGATACTAGAACTCATGCCTTATCGAGCATGTTATCCCATTTTTAAATTGGTTTATTCTCAAATGCTAGAGAAAAATTTAATAAAAGAAATAGAGATGGGAATAGGAAAGAAGAGGATTGAGATAAGGAAAATCACAAAAGAGGTATCAAGAATGGTGACATTCTATAAGAGAAGAAAGGCGGAGGTCTCTTCAAATAAGCCCAATAACATCCCTCCATGGCTGGTTCCCAAGATAAAGCAAGAAAATTAATAAGGAACACACAATTCAAAGGACAAACTCCGCGGTGATGTTTTAAAAACTTCAGAGATATCAAAACAAAAAATAGAGAACAAAGATGCAATCCAATAGAGCTCATATAAACCACAACAAGAACAATTCAGAAAAAGAAAAAAAAATGCACGCACATCGTCAAATGGAAAATATAGAAATAAGGATTCTAATCATTTCAGCAATCTCCAATAACGTATAAAATAAGGAGATAGATCCCTCAAACATGAACCTGGAAGCAAAACATAAAGGTAAAAGAGAAGGAAACTACTCAAAGAATGACATACGAAGTGCATGTGTGGCCCACAATTTCATCTCATTCTTAATGTTTTGGTACTACTATTTGAGTATGCTAATCCTTTATTATGCCTTCTTCTTCTTGTTGTTTCCCTGTTGGGCTAAGCGAATAGAACCAAAAGAGGTTCCTCCGAGCCTGTCAGCGAAAAAGACAGCCTCCCTAAAGACCTAAACAATTAATATGCTAATGAGGAAAAGACATGGGTGAGATACAAAAGAAGCCCATCATCCTGTGGCCTCGGCTAATTGAAAAAGCTAGCAGAATGGAACCACCTCAATATTATGGTACTAATTTCTATTTTGGGCCTTGCAATTACTATAATACAATTAAAGAATCACATCCACATAAAGTCACAAGAAGTTTTCAGCCTTTTTTTTTTTGGATCAGGCATTGTGGATTTTCTTCTACAGTCCGAACCATCACCTTTTTCTGATGTACAACAATGGGTCTAATCTAATTCTCAGACATGACCCTGGGTCATGCCTGGGAGTAGGCAACTCCTTAACAACTCGGACAATCCATATTGTGAATTTTTTCTAGAATCAAAACTGTTACACGTAACCACCCATTCAGTGAGTTTTCCACCAAGTATACAATTACCTTGTTATAAATCAATCCCTCTTGGAACAGAGTAGCATCTAATATTAATGTACACGCTACACATGGAGAAGAGATGAGCTAAAACAAAAATGGTTATCTTTCACCCAATGAAAGAAAAAAAATGGAGACTAAGTTGGTAGGAATCATCCTACTCTTATGAAAATCAGCAATAAACGCCCCATATGTCTTTCTTCTAAAATCAAACTATTCCGATTCTCTGACTATATTTGGTTGTTGTTATGCTCAAAGAGCAGTGCTATTTAGGGGTAATGGTAAAAGCACTAACTTATGGAAAGATCCCAGTATCTTTTTATGACAGAGACTATGAAAAGCCATCCATAATTCAGTGTTCAACAATTGCTTTTGAATGGTTAGGTCAGGGATGTACACGTATTATAGGACTACTTTGATCAGTGTTAAAGAAAAGTCCTAGCTAAGGTTCCTAATATGCACGAGATGATATTATATCCTGGTCAAAAATTGAATCAAAAAGTGAAAACTGACTATTTGGTGTCTAATGCCCATGTACCTTTGTTACTAGACTTCAGATCTCACCATTGGAAGAATTGACAAAATTTGGTATCATGAACAACTCGAGCTATTCAGGTGGAACTTGGTGTCCAATCTTGCTTCAAGGACAAATCGAACACCAGTCCTATTCCAAGAAATCTGTCTATCGTGTAGTACAATGAATTTCTAAAAGGTTCTTTTTCTAGGAACAATGGTTCATCTGTAATTTCAAAAGATCAAATCTAGGTTATGAGTGTTGTAGCCAGCTTATAAGCCAGATAACTACTTTATCTACATGTGCGTGTTGGAGTTCTGCATTACAGAATTAATCCTAAGGTGGCGGAGACTGGCCTGGTTATTATGATTATTAATAATGAAACACCTCCTTACCAGGTGGTAATATAGCATGCATAGACCACTACCAGTTAACTAAGAATGAGTGAGCGGAACATAAAAGCCTTACCTAGCCGAAGACCTAGACATAAGCTCTCAAAAGGCTATAATGATCAGTCAGGCAGCAGCCCACGCCATAATGAAGATGCCTTGTGAAATAGCAGCAGTCATGCTCTCCAATCAAATGGGCCCTTTGTTAGAAGTAAAAGGTTAAAAATCCAAAGAAAAAAAAAATTGAAAAAAATGAAGTTGAGAAGACTCTTTATCATTAAGCCTAAGTTAGGAAACCAATTAGAAGTTGGTTTCCTTCTATTTAACCGTAAATTTCAGTAGTCTATAGAAGAGGATAACACTGAAAATTGAAAAACTGTAGTAGAGCCATGAAGAGGCACCAATTTGCCATAGAGAAAAACTAAATAGCTATGAGAGAAGCCAAGTTCACGAGTCAAATACCATTGGTGACACGGTTAAGTATACGGATTGTAACTCAGTAAAGGTCAATCTTCCTTTTTCTTTTTTCCATTTTTTTTTGGTTGGGAATTGAAGGTTAGTCTAATTACTGGTTACCTAGTTGCACATTTGTAGGAGCAAGATCATTGTGTTGTCATTGAACAATCTTATGGGTCTTATTACAAGTGAATATAAGTTCAATAATTGGACATCCAGCTTCTAACATAGCCCGAAGATCAGCATTTAACTTTTTACCACAAATTATTGTTTACCAAATACCAAATCCTCCAAATATTTAAGCTACCGATTAGAAAACCGCTGTTATTCGTTCCCACAATCTCAAGGAGAAGTAACCTAATTTTACGTGTTCTTTTTTTTTTTTTTTTGCTTGGAATAATTTTTTCAAATTTAATGTTATCGCTTTCTTTCCTTTCTGAATAAGATGACAACCATAACTTTTCCTAAAACTTTTGCTCCCAAAGCACCTATTTTTTTCAAACTCTTTCTTCAAGGAAACCAACAAGGGTCATATACTTGGCAGCTTTGCTTCTAATCCTTGCCATATAGTTCACAATTTCATTCTGAAAAACAAGAGCTTGCAATCGACTTGATGTTCAAGGACATTGTTCTTTCCAGAAGAAGTCTAGTAAAGAAGAAAGGAGAAATGACTGCATCTCCCTTATGTGTGTGGTGTGTCTGCACGCATGAGAGAGCAACAGAGAGAGGAGTTGCATATTTTGTTTTCCTTTTCTTCTTCCAGAATTTCATTAATCAATGTCACTGCAAGGAGTTCAAACTAACCAAAAATGCAAATTTCACTATGTTCAATAAACAGGGAGAATATCACTAGATTTAATTCATGAAGATGGAAGCAGATGTATCCTAGAAGTTGGAGAAGCTTGATGAATTGAATGTAATTGCATAAGTTATTACATCAGAAAATAACTAAAAATGTAAGTCAACTAAGCAAATTATCCATAACACCAGCAACTTATTTGCATTTGTGCATTCATAAAGAAATCCAACGGAAGTTCAATTCATATTCGTACCTTTCCTTCATTTGGAAATATAACCTCTGTAACATTTCACAAATTGCCTTAATACATGGATGTAACTTATCACCTGCTATAAACAAGTGCATGCAACTTTCAATTTCAACCCAACTGCATCCGATGATCTTCCGGACTCCTCTTGCATCCATCATGTTTCTAATTTCTATTGCTTCACTCCATCTACCAACATCTGTGTACGAAGTAGAAAGCAGGACATAATTTGAAGAGTTCCAGAGCTCATCCCCATAAAGATGTTCACCAATATGCCTTGCCATTTGTAGATTCCCATGCAATTTGCAAGCTCCCAGTAAAGTACTCCACATAACATCATCAGGTTCATAGGGGAAGCTTCGCATAAGTACCTCAGCTTCCTCTAATAGCCCTGCTCGTGCTAATAAATCAACCATACATGTATAATGCTCCATTTTGGGTTTGATCAAATGCTTATGAACCATCTCGTTTAAGTAATTGCAGCCCTCTTCCACCAAACCAGCATGACCACATGCACTGAGCACACCAACAAAAGTGACATCATTTGGGGCGACAATGGATGGCTCATAAAGCACCAACTCATCATAGAGCTTCAAAGCCTTCATGGCTTCTCCATTTTGAGCAAACCCACATATAATTGCATTCCACAAAACAATATCTCTCTCGAACATGCTTTGAAATATCCTCACAGAATCATCCATCGCACCACTTTTCGAATACATATCCACAATCGCACTTGCCACCACAACATCAGTCTCTAGACCAATTCTCAAAACAATTCCATGAATTTGTTTTCCGCTGTGGAATGCACTAGCATCAGCACAAGCGCCAAGCAGACCACCAAAAGTGAAGGAATTTGGTTCCACGTTATCTAAACGCATTTTGTGAAACATTAAAAATGCCTCCTTCACATACCCACATTGCGAGAACCCGGAAATAATTGTTGTCCAAGAAACCACATCTTGGTGAGGCATCTCCTGAAACAAGAGAAAAGCTGATGCGATAAAGCCAGATTTGGAATATAAATTCAATAACGAATTGCTTATAAAGCAATCCGAGCAGAACCCTCGTTGTATAAGCAATGAATGCACTTGCATTGTTTCAAAAACTTGCAAACGAGAAGCAAATTCATTCAAAACTGTAGCATAAGTATACTCATCAGCAAGTATACCTTCTTTAGCAAGTTCTTGAAACAACCCTATACTTGCATCACCCGTTCCACACTTAGAATAACAAGCAATCAAAGCATTCCATGCAACCAAATCTCTAACGGGCATTCCATCAAACACCTTCTTTGCCGCTTCCATATCACCAACTCCTGCGTACATTCCAAGAAGATTTGTACCAAGAAACGCATCCGAATCCGAACCAACCTTAATAACCTCTGCATGAACTTGTTGCCCAAAACCCAATTCACAACAAGGTATTACAATCGAATACGTATATCTATCCGGCCTAATGGAACTATGACGCATTTCTACGAAATGGGTCAAAGCTAGTTCCAGTCTTTGGTTCCGAACACAGCCAGAAATGACAATATTCCATGACTGGCAGTCCCTGTTGGGTGAAGAATTAAAGAATTCAAGCGCTTCAGAGACTAAACGAGACTTGAAAAACCCAGATAAAATGGTGTTGAAAGAGACGATGTTGGTTTGAGGCAGGTGGTGAAGGAGCTTGTAAGCTTCAGACAAGGCTCCAGAGTTGACGTAGCTCTGAAGCACGAGGTTGCATTGGTAGACATTGTATAAAAAGCCATTTTTCACTAGGATGGCGTGAAGGGTTTGTGCTTTGTACATGTGAGGAAGCTCTGATTCTCCTAATATGGTGCATGCAGACCCATGATAAGCCAACTTTTGGGCGCGTTGTCGAGTTCTACTGTCGGATTCCAATAGGACCCCAAATATCCAATGCAACTCAATAAATTTGACGATATATTATTTATTTAACGGATAAAAATTTAGGATTTAGTTTGTTGACCTAATTCACTGTGATTTTTGGATTAATTGTGAACTCCATTAAATATTAAAATTTAGTATTAATCAAATGATTTTAATGAAATCACGTCATTAAGTCAACAAATTATGTCAAATTTTTATGTCTAAATAATATTTTCTAAAATTTAGATTTAAAAGAATCCAACTTTTTTTTAATTAGGAAAAATGGGAGAACCACAATAGGTAGTAGCCGCCATGTTTGGTAACCACAAAAGAAGCAGGATAACCCTAAATGGTATCACTTACTATTAGACCACCAATTCAGATCGTAAAATGATCTAAATTATAACTTCAAGAAACATGTTTTTTGTGACAATAAAAGGGATGTTGTAAAAAGTATATTTGTCGTTGAAAATATTTTTTGCAACGGCATTTAGTATTCGTAATCAGTAATATTACGTTGATCAAATTTTGAGACCAAATTAAGAGCTCAAATGACATGACAGCATATTATTTAGAATCTTTATTGAGGCCCAAATGACATAGCACCAAATAAAGAAGTTCAAATCAATTGTTATGTCATTTGGCCTCAAAATTTGATCAATGTAATATTATTAATTCGCAATAGACAGTATCACAAAAAATATTTGAAGCGGCATTATGCCGTCATGAAAAAACATTAGCGATGGTAACTGATGTAAATATTGGTGCTATAATTTTACATAGCATTTGCAATAGTGACTTTTTGTCGTTGCAAATGTTATTTATTTGTTGACAAAATACAATTATGTTAGAAACAATGCCATCGCCAAATTTTATCCTATCTATAGATATATATCAAACAAACTAAAGAAAACTTATCACAATCAAATAATTTCATGTACAATTTTATTCATAAACAAATCTAAACATTGAGTGAAAGTATTTTATATTCATAAAAAAAAATCATCAATTAGACAAACAAGTTTAAAATACACCAAATATAATATTGATCCCAAGCACAGATAAAAAAGGATGAAAAAAACAATAGGTTCAATGTTGCATCCACGTACGTTTATAATAAAAATGATAAAAAAAAAAATTAAGATATTACAAGAATCTTCTCCAAACCACTTACCCTTTCGATAGTACTTGAAAAAAAAAATTGTTGTTATAATATCACTACAACATATAAATAAATATATATATACATATAAATAAATAAATATATATCTATATAATAAAGTAGAATGAAGTTTGAATCCAAAAGACAAAGGAGGTCCAGATTGTTTTGAGACACTTGTGATAGATGTAAATAAAAGGGATACAAACTAAGTGTAGAGTCCCCGTATATATAGTCAATGAGAGTTACAATAAGGACCAAAAGGTAAAAAATGAAAACTTAATAAAACCCTAATAAACTAGACTGCTGCTATATCTCCAACACTCCCCCTCAAGTTAGGCGCAAAAATGTCAACTAAGTCAAGCTTGACAACGGAGGCCCGAAGAATAGACAGAGTGACAGATTTGGTAAAAATATCCGCAACCTGATCACTAGTCCCCATAAACGATGGAGTGACAATACCACTGCTAACTTTCTCCGAAGAAAGTGAACATCAATCTCTATATGTTTCGTCCTCTCATGTAGTACAGAGTAGAAACGAGCTGAATAGCAGATCGATTATCACAATATAATGTGAATGGAGAGGTCACTAAAAAACCCAACTCGCCAAGAATCGATCGTAACCAGATAATCTCACACGTGCCAAGTGTCAATGCCCGATACTCTGCCTCTGCTGACGAGTGGGAGACAACTGTCTGCTTCTTACTCTTCCAAGAGATAAGATGAGTCTCTCAAAAAGCACAGAAGCTCGTAGTAGATCGATCATCACATGCTCCCCCATAATCTGAATCTGAATAACAGGCTAAAGAACCGGTCTGAGATCCTGATGCATAAAACAACTCAAGTCCAGGACAAGACTTAAGGTACCGAAGAATATGATAAACTGCATCAAGATGAGGCTGACATGGCCTGTGCATGAACTGACTAACTCGGCTGACTGCGAATGAAATGTCCGGCCTAGTATTTGCTAAGTAGATAAGTCTACCTACCAATCTTTGATAAACTGTCGGATCTTTCAACTCCTCACCTTTAACAGTAAGCTTCAGGTTTGGAATCATGGGTGATGATGCTGGTTTGTACCCCAACATCCCAGTGTTTGAAAGAAGATCCAAAACATACTTTCTCTGAGAAAGAACAACACCCCTACCGCTACGGGCAACCTCAATCCCAAGAAAGTATTGCAGAAATCCAAGGTCCTTCGCATCGAAGGCCTTCCCAAAGTCTATCTTGACCTGTGCAGTCCCAGAAATATCATCACCAGTAATAATAATATCATCAACATATACCAGAAGGATGACACACTATCCAATAGTATTCCGTCGAATAAAGCATGTATGATCAGAATGACACCTGGTGAACCCCAATCGTACGACTACATCACTAAAGCGAGAAAACTAGGCACTTGGTGACTGTTTTAGTCCATAAAGAGATTACGCAGTCGACATACCTTTCCAGCATACTCCCCCTCACCACGAAAGTCCAGTGGTGCATCCATATAAATAATCTCCTCCAGATCACCGTGAAAAAATGCATTCTTCACATCTAATTGATGAAGAGGCCAAGAGTACTCTGCAGTCAGAGAAATAATCAACCAAACAATAGTCAATTTTATCACAGGGGCAAATGTAGCACCAAAATCATGACCTGGTACCTGAGTAAAGCCCTTCGCCACAAGTCTAGCCTTGTGACGATCAATAGTACCATCCGCAAGAAACTTCAGGGTGTAAATCCAGCGACAGCCAACAGACTTCACCCCTGAAGGTAAGGAGACAAGATCTCATATATGATTACGTTGAAGAGTGTCCATCTCTGTCTGCATGGCAAGAACCCATTGGGGCTACCGCATAGCCTCCGAATAGAGCGAGGAACCGGCGTATTTGATAAGGGCATAGTATAAGCTCGAAATGTGGGAGACAAATCACCATAAGAAACATAAGCAAAGATTGGATATAAAATCTTGGCGGTCCAACCATAACGATCAACTGGACGGCGATCACGTCGCGAATAACGACGCCCTAAATCATACTCCACCATTGATAATGTCTCATCAAGTAAATGAACTGGCTCAGTACCTGCAATCTCATCAGTACTAACAACAGGTGCATCAATATGCTCAACAAACTAAGAAGTATTACCTGCATCGCCTGAGGTAGAGGGGACATCAACAGGGTGATGAGAGCGAGGGCAACGAACATACACCTGCAAAGGAAGAGAGACTGATAACTCTGTACTGACAGAGATGAGTAGCTCTGAAGGAGGAGAAACAAATGACCCTATAGGGATAATGAACAATGACTCTGACTCTTGTGATAATGGAAAATTAAAGGGAGTATCATCAACTGGAGGAGCAGACACAGGACTGGGAGAAAAATAAGAAATATGTTCAAGAAAGATAACATTTAGACTGTGATACATACAGCGCCTGATAGGATCATAACACTGATACCCCTTAGATTGATAACAATAGCCCACAAAGATACAACGAATCGCTTTATCATCAAGTTTATGACGAGTAGGAGACTGATCCTGAACAAAACATGTGCATCTAAAAATACGAGGAGGGACCGGAAAAAGTGTCTGCTCAGGAAATAAGACCTGTAAGGGAGCCTTATGCTGAAGAACACGACTTGGCGTACGATTGCACAGAAAGGTAGAAGTCAAAATAGCAAAATGCCAATAAGATTTTGGTACCCTCATACCTCTAAGCATACAACGTACCATCCCTATCAAATTCCTATTTTTTCTTTCAGCAACACCAATTTGCTCAGGAGTATATGGACAAGTGATTTGCTGAAGAATACCCTGAGAAAAAAGGTAAGACACTAAGGCATCAGACACATATTTTTTGGCATTATCCGAACGAAAAGCACGAACAATGATATCGAATTGTGTCTTAATCATCTGTAAAAATTGAGTAATTATAGGAAGTACATCAGACTTTCTATGCAAAAGGTAGACCCAAGTACAACGGGTATGGTCATCTATAAATGTCACATAATATCGGGCACCTGACAAAGCAGTAACGGGAGGGGTCCCCAAATATCAGAGTGTATTAGGTCAAATGGCTTAGGTGATTGATGCATGCGAGGAATATAACTGGCCCTAACATGTTTGATAGGGAACATATAATACAGTCAAGTTTACCACCAATACAAGCATTGCTCAAATCAGGAAACAACATACATAAATATTTAAAATTTGTATGTCCAAAACGGTCATGCCACAACTGAACAGTTTGTGACGAAAAATCATAATGACAACTACTAGGTAAAATACTAGCATGCAAGCTCGGAACAGAACAAGACAAAGCAGGTGCAGGTGATGTAGGTGGAGGAATTGATGAAACTAGAGGTGGATTGCCAAGATAAAACAGTTCATCTTTCTCATGTCCCCTAATAATCATCCTCCTGGTACTCAGGTCCTGCAAATAACACGAATCAGATAAGAATACAACCGCACAGTAAAAATCTCTGGTTAACTGATGTACAGATAATAGATTCATGGCCAACTTTAGCGCATGAAAAACTGAACGTAATGTAAGGTCATTTGGGAGGTGTGGACTGTACCCCTACTAACAATAAGGGCATGTGTCTCATCTCCTAACTGAACTTGTGTATGTAACTGCTCGTCAAAAGTGGTGAAGTGATGGGCGTCATCTGTCATGTGACCATTCGCACCCGAGTCCAACATCCAAAAGGGAGATGAACTAGCATAAACGTGAAAGGCACGAGGTATACCTGTAGTGGTGACAGCAGTAGTAGTCAGACTCTGAGAAGTCAGAGCAGATATAAGTATATCTAACCG